TGAGTGAGAACTAGAACATTCTGCTTCCTCAAGTTAGTTTAAGTGTGTCGGGAGGCAGTTGGGCCCAAGTCTGTTTTTTGTTACCACAGTAGCATTACTGACTGAGAAAGATATTTTAATATGCTAGAAGGCCCCTTAGTTTTCCTTTTTTTCCCCTGTGATTTGCTGTTGAAAATGGTGACTGGTGAAAATATTTAAGTATTGTCTCTCGCTTTAATCTTTTAAAGAAATGAAGACTCCAGTTAACATTGCTTTCTAAGGAAGTTTTATGTTTGACATGAGGTTCATTTTCTTGATTGTTCTTTCTAGATAATTTTGTTGTATTTTTGACAATTATACATAGTATCTTTTTAAGAGTATAGTCATATTTTAAAAATTACTTTAAAAAGATGGTATTTGATGAATCTTGCCTAGTAAATACAGCTTAAAAAATAGGCTGCTAAGTGAACATTGGGCCATGAACGTTTATGTTGCTGGGTATTTCTGAAGTATACTCCTTTGGGCACAGAGATACTGAACTATGTGAGCTGGCACATTCTTGGTTTTGAGGTATGATGAGCCACTAGTTAGTTACCTGCAGCTTTCCTCTAAACTTTTAATAGCTGCTCCTGTCACGTTCCACCTACATTTCCTTTAGAATCCAGCATGGGCCGTGTCTTCCCAATAGTTAGTGTTCTAGTTAACTTGTATAATCTTGTCTTGATGGTCCAGCAGCTTTTCTGTCAGATCCATCTCTCTCTCACCCTTTCTCCTGCACACACCCAAGTTGCTATCTTTACTGTTCTCTTCCTTTGTGGAGACCCACCATATACTCATCAGTTGCTCTCTGAGGTAGGGTGCGCATATTTGTACAACTGGTGATATCAGCAACATTTTGTTACTAGCACTTCTTTCAGTTGTAAAGTTCAGGCAAGAAAGGTGGATTCAGAGCCAGGACTTTAACGTTTTTGCTTCCATGCTTATGTCCTGTTGTTATAAAAAAAATACTATCCCACACTCCAGAACCTTAGCTTCTTGTCCTGGCAGATTTATGCACTGATCGTGGATACATGAGGGGAAGGCAGTGATAACATCCTTTTTGCTGTGGTTAACATCTCCAAGCTTATTGTCTATTACTAAACTGTGAAGTTGGGATTGTGTGTGTGTAATCACAGTTCAGAAAATTAACTGGAGGCCCCCCTTAAAAAAAAAAAAGTCACACTATCTAACCCTGATTGTCTTGGAACTCACTATGTAGACCAGAATGGCCTTAAATTCACAGAGATCCATTTGCCACTGCCTCTCTAGTGCTGGGATTAAAGGCAGGTGCCACCATGTGCAGTGAGATACTCTTTTATGCTGTCAATGGCCAGGAAATGAGATCGGTAGCTATCTCTTGTCCTCAGTGAGAAGCCTACTTAACGGTATTTTCTTTATGCCCAGTGCAACTTACCTTAAAATATTTTAAAAGCAGAAACCTCGTTTTAATTAATTAATTGAATCATAATAGAATATTTATGACTCAGGTCTTTAAATTTGAGTTAATTTTGGGTTGTTGCAGCTTATATTCGTATCACATGTTTGTTACTAGACTACAGAAGCACTAATTTATATGAGTGATTAATACGCAGTTGAAAATAGAATTTATCATTTTGTTCCTGTACGTTGGAAGGTAAATTTTATTTTGTGTTGGAGAGGTTGCATTAGGCATCTGTTCCTTAAGAGTTGTAGAGGTAACTTTTTGTTCATTTTCATGGCTGAACGTTGGCGCAGTTGGAAGTGACAGCTGGAGTTGTGGGGTGGGACGGGGAGCTCTGGTATGGAGGGGTGGCTTACGTCACCCCTGGGTAGTGATTGTGTTTTACCCGTGTCCCCGGTCCCCACTGTTGCTACTGGGAAGCAGCAGCTGCTGTTGAAAGCTCCTTGGTTCACATCCCTAAGTGGACTGCTTCTAGGCTTGCTGCCTCCCCCAGGCTGGGCCAGCAGTTGCAGAAGGAGAATGATTTAACGAGTTAATTTTGTCAAGGCCCATTTTGGAATTTTTCTTAGCATTTCGATTATTTTTCTAGTTGTACTCAGAGTCTAAGCCCATGAGGGTTTACAATGGCTTATTATAAATAGATCCAATATGTAAAATCAAAAGCGTTTAAGACTAGAGTCTGGTGTAACAGCCAAGTTGTGCTATATTTGAGCGTTTGACTATGGAACTTAAATACCATTAGTACTGAGTCTAAATACCATGAGTATTGAGGTCTGAGTTAGAGGTTCAGCGTGCCACCAGGGGATGAACAACCAAAACCAGGAAGGTGCTAAACCATTATGTAGAGGGAGGGAAGGAAGGAAGCAAATGCGATAGTTGCTGGGAAGAACTGTCCCCTCACTGCCTCCGTTTAGACGTCGACCCATGGGAAGTGAAGATGATACCAGCTAGTTTAGACAGTTGTCTCTGTCTAGAAAGCTCTTTACAGTACTCTCCATAGAAATAGATTTGCCTCAGAAATACCGAGTGCTTTGTACATACCCACTGTTTAGCAGAAGTGCTGAGGATACAAAGGGTTGGAAAAAGCCCAACGATCTTCATGTGCTTTGAGCATCTCGGACCTTGGTGTTTCCAGATCAACTGTATGCTTAGTTGTTGTTCTGTATATAGTATGCATGACAGCTTTTGCATTCAGATTAGTTGATTGAACAAAGCTATTAGTGCTTTCAGCATATAAGGAGGTATATTTTATTGAATATCAATCTGGTCTCTAACCTTGTTTCATCTACCTCTTAATCACGTGACTTTTTTGTGTTGAGCTTTCGAAGTCCAGCTTTCTTACCAGTTCTGTGGGGACCAGAATGCACCCTGGTACTGTTTGGGAAGATTAAAGAAGACAGATGTGTGATTCCCCCAGCTCAAGTCCTTGTAGCTTTGTACATGGTGGCTGATCATATTGTGCCAAGTAAGAAGGTTCTTTTGTAGCACTGTAAAGAAAAGAAGAAAGCTTGCCCACCAGGCTAAGATTCCTACATGCCGCAGCCTCCTAAGACAAGTGGTTCTGGGTCTTTGTGTCATTTGCTGTAGTCTGGATCACCCAGGGTTATATGAAAGAACTTAACTTCAGAATGGCTTCTTTCTCATTTCTACTAGAATGGTATATATTGAGTGCCTTCGTTCCATTCAATGGAGAAATCCAGGGGTTGATTTTTTTTTTTTTTTTTTTTCTGAATTCCATTCTCTGAGGACTGTCCTGTATCTGAGTATTTGATAAGTACTTGGGAAAAGTTGACAAATGCAAAAGTCCTTACAAAACATGCTATCCACATTTTTTCTAATGGGATTGAAGAGGACTTAGGGAAGCACAGTGTCATGTGACAGTTTAATACTCTGGAGTAGAATCAGTTTCCTAATGAAGCCATCTGAAACTTTGTAAGGATTGTTTTAGGTGGGCACAGTGCCCTGAAGACCATCTGTTCCATTCTCAGCCCTGTATGGGATGGCAAACCATCACACAGAATGAATGAGACTAATCAATTTGCTTTAATAAGCTAATGAGTCAGTATCAGAATTTTTAAGGCTCACAGATTCATTGAACTGGATTTTGAAGTTCTCTGTAAACTTCAAAATGAGTGTTTTTTGTAATAGTAGTTTGTCACGTGGGAAAAGGAAAAGTCCAGGGGATTTGCTGAGTGATTTTTCTGTCTCCATGAGCCTCTTCTGGCTACATTTATCGCCCGAGCATAATAGATAGAAAGTGCTATCTTGCTTTTTTGTAAGTATATATATGCTCATGTTAGAAATAAAAGTGATTGTTGCCGTATGAGGGTGCACCAGAGAGACGTCTGCCAGATGGTCTGGAGCACGCTTTGGAATAATGCTGCGTGGATATGTCTGCTGCTCATTTACCTGTCCCTACGTGTGTAAACAGTTTGCCGTTATGAGGGATGGAGTCTGTATGTGGTAGTGTATTCTAGAGGAAAATCCAAATTAGGTTACAAGGAGCCGCCTAGTAGAAACATTTCAGTTTCCACAGAGACACAAGGCGACTCATCAACCTTACGTCCCCGGCTTGTTATGCTGTAGGGTTAAATCCTGGTATTAACCAAGCAAAGGGAAGTGGACCTTACGTGGCTTTCTTTTTTTTTTTTTTTTTTAAAGATTTATTTATTACATATACAATATTCTGCCTGCACACATGAAGAGGGTACCAGATCTCATCATAGATGGTTATGAGCCACCATGTGGTTGCTTGGAATTGAACTCAGGAACTCTGGAAGAGCACCCAAGTGCTCTTAACTGCTGAGCCATCTCTCCAGTCCCCTTACATGGCTTTCTTACATGTTTGTTTGAGAAGTGTAGGAGAGGTATAAGAAAGGGTGTCAGGTTCTTCCTTTAACTGTTTTTGTTTTGAGACAGGTTCTTGTTCTATAACCTGGCCATAGTACTTGCTTATATAGCTCAGGAGTTCTGTAGCCAGGCTGTCCTGTAACATCAGCCTCTTGCTGACCCCTCCTGATGCAGCCTTCTAAGTGAGAGGATTATAGATTGATCCATCATGCATGGTTTAAAAATCTCAAAATTTGAAGTCCTTTGTAGCCCAAGAGACTTTCTTAAAAGGTGAAAAATTTATCATTGAAGATGTGTGTAAAGACAGTGCTACATATGGAGAGAACTTTTGACTCCTGGACTGCCAAAAAACTGTGAAGTGAACTCAGGCTTTAAAGTATTAGCTGAACTCAAAAGTTGAGGACAGAATGGATTTCTTTCTTTCTTTCTTTCTTTCTTTTTTTTTTTTCTTTTTAGAAATACCACAATCTGGTATTACTTCTGAATAATATGCAGTCAGTAACTTCCAAAATATATGAAGGTTACTAGATTAGTTTCATTTAACAAACACTTATTGTTAAATTATGTGTATGATGTACATTTGAGCGCAAGTACCTGAGGAGGCCAGAAGAGACTTGAATTTCCTGGATCTGGAGTTACAAGGGATTGTAAACCTCCTGATGTCTATAAAGACCAGCTGGGAGCTGATCTTCGATCTTCTGCAAGAAAATGGTGAGCTCTTAACCACAGAGCCATTGCTCCTCTGTCATGCTTCATTTCTTTGTTCGTTTCTTTCAGATTTTATGTTTATGGTTGTTTTGCCTGCACGTATGACTGCACAGTGTTGGTGCCTAGTGCTAGGGGATGCTAGAAGACGGTGTTGGTTCCTTTGGAACTAGAGGTATAGTTGTGAGCCGCCATGTGGCGCAGAGCACTGGACCCTGGTCCTCTGAAAGAGCAGGTAGTGTTCCTAACTGCTGAGCCATCTCCCTGGCACCACACTGTATATAGTGGAGGTTTAGATCTCTGGCTTGATAAATCTAAAGAAAATGGTTTCTTGTAGCATTGGTACCTTCAAGGATTGAAACCAAATGCAGTGTGAGCTCAAGTTTGTCTTTCTTTGTTATTGGTTTGTTTTTCAGACAGGGTCTCATCTAGCCAAAGCTGGTCTTAAATACCTAATTTTCCTGTCTCCAACCTCTCAGTGTTAACATTAATGTAAAGAAACCTCCCGTCCTCTCTCTTCCTCTCCCTTACCCTCTTCTCCCTTCCCCTCCATTCTCTTGTCTTCTCTTTTCTTTGATACAGCATTTCATTATGTGGCCCTCCCTGGCTGGCCTTGAGCTCACAGAGGTTGGCCTTCTTAATGCTTCCTGAGTGCTGGTATTAAGGCATGGTCTACCATATCTGACCTAAATCATATTTCTTGAGTTGTCAGTTTGATGATGATAATATTCTTTTCACTATATTCTCTTTGGCAGTATTTTCCTTTTTAGACATTAATGAAATTAATGAAAATTTTGTTCTCAAAATGTTTGAAAAGTCAAAACAACTATGAAGGCTTTGAATAATTAGCAAGCCACTGGGATTTTAAATCAGGTTGGATGGTTTTAGTTTTGGGGACGTTGCAGTCTGAGTGTTGTGTAGGAATCGGTCTTGGTGAGCAGTAGACAAACACAGGTTGCCTCAGTGTCTTTCTGTTTGCTAGAGTAGACTTTTAGGGTCCACAATGACATATTTTTCAGAAACTACCATCCAGCTTTCCTTGGTATTTCTCTTACAAATCTAGAAATGACGAAATCAGTACCAGTCTGTCAGCTGATTTTGAACTTTGACATAATGTTTACTCTGACCTTTTTAGGCTCCAGTCTAGGTTCTCATGTTGTACTTCTCTTGCTGACCTTGGCATTCACCAGCTAAACCGATGGGCTTTGGCTTTCTGTTCACCTGCTGTCTTCTCCTGATCAGATGGGGATAGGAGCTGTGGCAGTAGCACAGGAGTGCTGGTGTGTGTATCACGCCTAGTGCCTAGATCAGGAGGGCTATGCTTCCCCTTTGCTCCTTTGCTGGACTTGTCTCCATCCCTCATCAAGTGGGTGGACAGCATTTAATTATTTTGCTTCTTGTCCTTATGTGTCTTGATTTTGGTGTCATTGACATCCTTGCTGCATCAGGGCTTTCTCAGTTTTATTCCTTAGCTTTTTGTTGTTGTTGTTGGTGGTGGTTGACTGGTGGCAGTCTTTACCATAAGTGGATAAAGATACTAAAGGGATTGATGTAATTAATGAAACATGAATATTACCTATTGTCGTTTTCATTTTTCTTAGTGTATTAATATAATGTACAACTCAGGATCCTATGATAAAAATCCAGTAGAAAGGTACTTTATCTGAAAGTAACATATTTTAGAGTCTCCTGACTATCCTAAGAACAAAGCCAATTTATACTCAGAAGACAAGCAGGCATGGGGTATTGGAGAGAGAAAAGGTAGGCTAATTATAAAAATCACAGTTGAATAACTTGAGTCTTAAAATTACTTTCAGCAATGTGGTCAGGTCAAATAGACAGTTCTTTGCATTTGAAAGAGTCATTTAGCCATGTGCCAAGCCTGAAATCCCAACACTCGGGGGCAGGCAGAGGTGGGTGGGTCTCTGAGTTCGAGGCCGGCATGGTCTACAAAGAGAGTCCAGAACAGCCAAGGATATGCAGGGAAACCCTGCCTTGAAAAAGAAGAAGAAGGAAAAAAAAAAAGAAATTCAGATTGAAGGATTTTTGTGTTTGTCTTTCATTTGAGGTTGCCCTTTACCCTTTGGTCCAGCTAGCTGGAAGAAGTTACCAGATATATTCTATGGTTTTCTTTGCCTTTCAGTCTGTAGTAAGGCACCTGCTTTAAATACATCTTACGTTACGGATTGTCTTATTTTTTCACGTGTTTTACTTTATCGTATGCCTTAGTGGATGTGAGGACACACTTGGTTAGTTATCTATTGCTTTCATTTTAATAGAACTTGACATTTAAATCTAGTGGTGTGAGTTCAGTCCCAGAACATTTTGAATGTTACCTTGTTCAAAAGGATGAAAAAATGTATTTATAATGGGATTTTGTTAGGTGCTGAGGGGTTTTTGTTGTTAGGTGGGTGGTTTGTTTTGAGATGGGGGTCTGACTGTGTAGCCATGACTGGCTTGGCACTTAGTAGGTAGTCTGGGCTGGCCTTGCCTCCTGTCTAATTCTGATACCTTGGATAAAGTTGTTGCCTTAAGAATTAAAATTCAGCTGTGTAGAGTGTACCTGTATGTTAGCCAGGAGACACAGTTCTCACTTTGTTACTGTATCTTGACCAGTGTGGTTCACTTGAAAAACATTGGCTGAGTCACCTATTTATACAAAGATTCTTCTTTTGTTTTAAATGTTTATTTTTCTAAGTTCATTTTTTAAACATAGAAATTCTTTTGAAACAGTAAGAATCAGTGATATAAGGTAGGTAAGGAAAAGATGCTAAGGCAGGTTACCAAGTAATTTATAATGTCTTAACTTTGTAATTCTGCCCACTTGTAAGCAGCAGGTTTAACTAGGTCAGTGAAGGCACAAGTCTTAAGGGAGAATCACATCCCTGGACTGGTGTGAACTGTGTATGGTCCTAGCTAGGGAGGCAGAAGAGGAAGATCAAGGCCATCCTGGGCTACGTGAAGCCCTGCAAAATAAGAACAAATGTACCGTATAAAATAATTAGGTATAGCCTTCTCCTTTTCTTTGATGATAGTCTTAAAGCTAATAAGTCATATATCCCAGTTTAATAATATAGTACCGAGGGCAAATTTTACAAGTAGCCTCATTTGATAGACATAGATATTTCAAAGGAACTTCTTTCTCAGTGGTATGTGTAAATGCATATAATGCAAACTATGTAGACAGTGACAGAGAATGTTGATGATTTTACTAACACATGGGCACAGAGGCCACTCACATCCTTGCTGTGACATCACAGCATTGCAGATTTTATTACTTTTGGTTTGAAATGTATTCTCTAATGATTACATTTTAGTCTTGCAGAATACTTAGTTTTTCCCCTTTAAAACATCACATAGAGGGATGCTTTTGGGGAAAATAGAGTGAGGTGGTCTCCTATGTTCCGATGAGCTGTGTCATTTATGTTCTTTACTTATGACCTCATTTTGAAATTGTACACTTTTTTTTCTGTATAAAATTAACAAATTCAACCAAAAATTTATCTTACAATAAAAAGAATACCAGTTCTTTTGAATGATTTCAAAGTAATTTTTATTTGGCAAAATCTGTGTGTGTTCATTGCTGAGTAAAAGCTGATTTTCTGACTCTAAAGGCAAGAATTAAGTATTCTGAAAGAAATGTGACTTCTGGAAGTTCAAAAATTTCTTGAGCCAAGTGACATGAAGTTGCTTTTTAGCCTAAGTAAAGACTTGAGAGTTTTTCTTTTCTGGTTTTCCAGCTAAGATGGCTGTGCTTTTAACATGAATTTTGGAAAGTACAGAAAATGAAGGTTTAGATGGAAGTGGTTGGCTTAGAGCTTCTGCTGGTGGTGTAAACTTAACCTAGTATTAGGCTGAGCCAAATTGATAACACTTAAAACAATGTCATGTGTATTTGTGTCCTTCACCTTCTTTCCAGTTTTCACCCAGCTCTGAGTTAGGATTTGTTATTATTTGATAATTGGGAGAAACTGGGAAATTTGGGAAAATCTCAACCTTTAGTACCTTGATTATTACATTTTGCTTAGATTTCATTAACACAGAATTCTGAAATAATCCTCAGTGGTTTTTGAAGTATTATCACAAAAGGAAGGGTTTGCCAACAAAATTAATTAGAAAAAATGAGAGGGTTATTGTTGGTTTGCCTGTGCAGTGTCTCTGTAGCACGTGTAGAAGTAGAAGGAGGTATGAGGCAGCTTCTGTGCTGTGCTTATGCTGCCTTCATGTAGAGTGACCAGAAAGAAGTTCAGCTGTGGGAAACTGTACATTTTCCGTAGTTCTAAGGACTAGAATGCGTTTCTTGAGATATTCTGTATTCAGGTCTTGGTTCTAATTTGTGCTTCTTTCTTCATTCCTGGTCCACCTCCCCAGTATAATAACACTGGACAGCACACTGATCTGCTACAGTCTACAGGGAACTTTAAGTGAGGACCAGGTGCTGCCATTTTGGCTCATGAAGTACTCTGTGGATGTTTATTCTTTATGTTATGTCTTTACTAGGTGGCGATTCTACCTCCTCTATTACTTTTAAGTTTTGGAAATTATAGGTTGGATGGTTAAATTCCTCACAGGTTTCCTTTTCTTAGGCCAAATTGTTTTTATTTCTCATTTGTGTGGAGTTGGCTATGTTCCTCAGTAGAAGGGTTCAGCTTTCTCTTCATCTTCAGGCTTTTCAAAAGTCCAGTCTAAATGTCATTAGATAATGGAGTAACCATTCCTTTTCAGCTTTGGTATGTTTCCAAACTGGCTGCCAGAGCCAGGAGGAAGTGAAGGCAGTAGACACTAACTGTGGTTGGTTACTACCTCCTTAACGCTGAGACTATGACCTTTGTTGGTTGTTTGGTAGAGAACAGGAGAGCACAACCCTCGTTCCACTAACAGGTAAGGAAACCTTGTGATAACCAGTTGGTGTGAGAGGAAAATAACTTGTTAGCATTTGGCTCTTCATCTACCCAAAATATAACATGTCCCAGAAATAGGACACCATGGCTGATTGAGCACAGAACAGGGACAGCGCCTGAGGAAGACCTTCAGATTTAACAGGAGTGTATCACTCTGTACCACAAAGATAATTGATCATTTCCCTCGAGGCAGTGCTGTTAATCCCTGTAACTTTAAATACATACCTGCCTCTCTGGTTCTCCTTTTCAGCTTCCCCTTGATCAGATGCTATGTGCTTTTGAACATCTGTCCTGTAGTAAAAGTACTTTCCAGCATCTTTAGCATCATCTATTGTTTGGCATATTTGATGTTTCAATTTCTACATTGTGGCTACTAATGATTATTCCTGGCCTCTCTTGACTCCAAACAAAAGCATCATGCATTTCAAAAATTGAAGTATCTATTATCTATGAATATTATCCTGCCCTCCAGTTTCAAGGATGAATGCTTGAAGAAACCTTTTTCATTGACAGTAGTCAGAGCTTCGATAAAACTCAAGTTTAACCTTTTTTTTTTTTTTTTGGCCATAATATTGGCCTATAGTGTGGATCAGTTCTCTCTAAATCACTGGAATTTAAACCAGTAAATTGAACTCTGGACATTCCTGAAGTGTAGTATTCTATTATTATGATTATTCTGTTTCTGCTTTCCAGTCCATCTTCTTCTCTTTGATAGAAGAATTAATTGGGTCTTTTGATATATCCGAAGTTGAATGCCTTCTCCCTGTCCCTTTAAGAAAACGATAATCTCGTTTCCCATTATAATCTATGATTATTTATTTATTTATTTATTTATTTATTTATTTATTTATTTATTTATTTGCTTCGATCTTCTATTTGAAGTTGAGAGGTTTGTCACAGAGTATGTTATGGCTTAGACCAATACAGGCCCCTTCTCAAGTAGCTACCGAGGAACCAATCACTGTGGTAACAGATTTCTAAAATTCAAATTAAGATGGCACTTCAGAAAGCTTGTCCCAAGCTCGAGCCTTTTTGTCCTGAGGATAAGCCATTACAAACTCAAATGACCAGAGTATGTAATTCTCTTAATAAGAATTTTTTCTTAAATCTATATTCAGCTCTATTTCAGTGCTTCTCTCCTCCCAGAGGTGCAAGGAGTGATCCTAGAGCCACAGATACAGCCAAGACCACGGAGAGCTTTTGACGGCAGGGCTCCACTTTCTCCACTGAACCCTTGGAGACAGAATGTCCAGCTTCTGGAGAGAGTGGGAAAGGATAATAAACAAGTGGGTGCTTTCCATTATTTACTTGGGTTTATCTATAGAGTGGAGTGTCCTTCCGTTTTCACCCATTTTAATTCTGTTGGTAACCCCTGTGGCTTCTTATAAGAGCCAGCTGGGACTGTAGTCTGTGTGTTTCCTGAAAGTACAATCTGGTGCCCATTCAAAAAACAAACCTAAGATTTGTTTAATATTCTCTCCATATAGTCAGTGCAGTGGCTAACCTGGGGCACACACACAATTTGGTCCATGCCTGTGTAGTTCCATGAAGAAAGGCGGTCATTTCCAGATTTGGCCTTTATTGTAGCAGTGGACTTGACAGAATTCTTTTAGAGTCCAGAAATTGAAGTTTCTGTGCTTCATCTTTGGGTGAGTGGACACCTGAAGTCTCTAAATGTATACAGTTTGAATGTCCAGGTGTCCCCGTGCCCTGTTAGTGAGGACTTTCTGGTCTTTTTCCTATCTTAAATGTTAGGCCTTCATGTTCAGCCTCTTAGGAGATGGAAAGATAGTACCGTGTGGCTTTACCGTAAATGTAGGCTTCATTCCTTAGTAAAATAAATATCAATGAGTATAAGTTTCAGGATCTAATGTCCCTGAAAACTATATTTAATATACTCAAAAGTAGTTTTCTGGTCCCTAGGAATATAATTTATGGCAAAAGAGCCTTTCAATAGATTTTCCCTAGGGCATTAAGATGGTTCTTTCTTAGTTTCTTTGATGCCAAGGGTAGGGTGTAAGTTCTCACCGTCTGCAGTGGGTAGGATGTGAAGTTGGTGCTTTGGCAAGTTTTCATTGTTTCCTTGGTGGCTTCCTCCCGTGACTCCAGGTGTCTTGATAATTGGAGACCGGTTTACTTGTTGTCTAATTGCCCAGATTTCTTTCAACTGGTCAAACATCATACCTCTTCAGCAAAAGGAGTTCTTCTAGCAGAGCCCTCCTCCCTCACGGATGACACCTGTCACTCATGGCAGCACCTACAGAGTGGAAGGCAGTGGTGAATGGATCCATGCCCTCTGTCTAGAAGACACAAGGATGAGCCAACCACCTGAGCTTGTTTCTCACAAACTTTTAACGTTTACTCTGGTTTACTTTTGGTCTGAAATGGAAAGGCTCAAATAATGAAGTAATCTTTTCATTGGAGTTTTACATGGCCATGACAATACTTCTTATCCTGAAGACTGAAATAGAGGAAGCTTGAGAGTCTTCTTTCAAAGCAGCTCTCTGTATATGTTTACTTAAAAGATTTGTGGGACTGACAGTCACTTTAATCAAACAGGCAACCCCCACTTTAAAAAGTAGCATTAAAAAAAAAAAACAACACATAAAGCTGAATGAGCCCCCCAAACACCTCTCCTTTTGTTACCAGTGCTTAAGGGACTAGCAGGTAAAGGGTGAATCCAACTCTTCACGAGTTCGTTAGTGTTAGGATGTACTCTTGGCTCATCTCTGCCGGTCCTGAGCCGTATTCTTACTGTAGTTTATCACGTCAAGAAAGTCAGAGAACTGTCTCAGTCTCGGAGACCAAGGAGGTCGGTCTGTGTTGCTAAGAAGTAAATGCCTTGTTGGGTTTATTCTGCATTCCGACACTTGAATGGTACCGAGCAGTTCAGAACAGAGGTAATAAAGAGTCAGATGAGCCTATAGGTGCGAATAGGCTTAAAGTAATTATCCAAATTACCAATTGGCAGTAGCTACCTGTTTCTTCTTTTAGTTATCTATTACCTAGTAACTGGCCAGTCCAAGCTATTAAGGAAAACCAACATTCACTTGATGCTGCCAGTGCTTTTTAATTTGGAATAGCCTAAGAAAAGGAATTAAGATTTTTATAATAATAGAAGAACAACTGAAATGTTAGGCTCTCAAAGTGTAAAACTCAATCTGCTAAGACAGAACCTACTTTTAGTCTTGGCTATAAGAAATATTTCTTAATTATGAATCAGTTTTGAAAAGTATAGTGCTTAAAAGTAAAATGTTAAAGATAATTTTGAATTGAAAATTTCTCCCATATACCCCTGAATTCCCATAGAATGATTACAGCTTTGTGTTCCTGGCTTAATAAGATAGTTCATAAACATATAAACAAACAAACAAACAAACAAAAAACCCAAATTACCCAGTATTTTAGAAAACTCAGAACTGAAATTGAGATTTGCCTAGATACTCAGTTGCATTTTTTAAAACCTTGGTGCAAACCATTTTATGGCCTGAGTTTACTAGCCTTTTGTGTTAGCACTGAAGCTGGAAAGCGATTTAACCTTGGAATCTCAAGCTTAAGTTAATTTCAGCTCTGTTCCCTAAAGTATGCAAAAGAAATGTAAGTGCATTTCCATCACCACATGCACGGTGGCAAGCTGTTGCAAAGTGAAATTCTCTGTGTATTACTGTGAACTAATTTGTTTACATTTTAATTCTGATGCATTTTCTTTCAGATTTTTAAAGAATAATTTCGTGTCATACTATGCAATCCTATATCTCTTCCGTGTTTGCTTTATGAATATTAATATAAGTGATTTTTTTTCTAGAATGATTGTGTAATATTTGTATTATGTGATCATTTGAAAACTAATAAATATTTTCTCCATGGAAAAATGCACTTACTGATAAATGGCTTATTTTTGTTTCAGGAGTAGAAAGTGAAAATTGCAACTGTATTTTAAAGTATACTTTAATGTGTCTTTTGATAAGTGTTTCTGAGTATATTGTTTTCTAATTTTTTTTTTTTTTTTAGAAAAATTCCTCTAATTGTTAAAATTCTAGAGTCAGTGTAGTAAAATATCAGGAATAATTTGGTCAAATTTTTGAGATTAGATTGATCAAAATATAAACAAAACAGCATACATAGTTCTCTGCTCAAAACAGAAACCATTGAAAATAATGGCTGATTGGAGAACTACCAATATTGTTATCAAGAAAAGTGTTTTCTGTTTAGTGTTCAGATTGGACAAATAACAGACTTCAGAGTCTGTTGCTTTTCAGATCTGATCCAGATACGCGGATCATTCTTGTCCCTGGACATTTATATCCCTGCAGCAGCCGCTAGAGCACTTTGAAGTTCAGAAAGCGGACTCAGCATTTTAAAATCATTAAGGTGGAGTCCCATACAAGAAGTAAAACATGAGGCTTGACAGCATGGGGATCTGGCTTCCCAAAGAAATGCACTCTGAACAAAATGAGCATTATAAATGGAAATTTTAATTTGAAATGGCTGGGACAAGGGAAATAAAGGAAATGGAGCCAAGGCTTTTTGGTTTTGTTCATCGGGTAAGTTAGGAAAAGATGAGTTAAAGGCCAAGTTCCTAACATTAAAAAATTCTAAGTTGAAAGGATCACAGCCCCATTTCAGCAGAAGGCTGTGTTCTCTACACAAGCTTTTCTATGGGCACTGAAAATTTCAAAATTACTGCAAAGGTAATGATGAAATGATTCCTGCTGTTTTTGCATGAGTTTTTCCTGCACTATCACTAGCCTTCAAATAAAACATTGCAAAGTGGAAATGTGGTTGTTTACCGTCATCTTCAGGGGCCAGGCATGAGCTCTACCTTCACCACCACTGAGTGGCTGGGCTGTCTAGTATAAACATGTTTTGAATTTTTGTGAGTGTGTGATAAAATAAAGGTTGGATTTTTTTTTTTTCCCCCTGAGGGCCACAGATCTTTGGATAGCTTTCTACAAAAAGTCACAAGCCAGTGACTATGAAATTCTAACCTTTAAACTTACTATGAATGTTGCACACACCTCATTTTCCTCTGCTCTGTTGAGCAGAATATCCATGCTCAGATGTCTAAGAAAAGTCTTCTTTTCCCAATTCTGTTATTTTTGTTACCTTTAAAAAAGGATTTCATATTAATTGGGTTTTAAATGTGAAAAATTCAGGTTTCAAAGTAATCACACAGGTGTCCTGGAGTTTTCCCACTAGTGTATACATTTAAGGTAAATTAGATTATTATAGTAAAAATCCTGCAGAACTTTGAAGTGTACATCGGAGTTTTCAGAAATGTGATCAGAGGGATTCTCTGCACAAGAGGTAAGGCATGGTGCAGTTAGAGGATCGTTCAGAATGCGGGCAGTAAACCACCAGGTTGACCTCTGCAGAGAGGTAAAGAAGTCCGAGGGTGATCTTCCCCAAAACTCTTCCAGACAAGCCATGGATTTGTTTGTACAGGTTTAGGGTTTCTCTAGAACATACCCAGTGATTGTTTTGTTCTTTTTTAATGTACATGTAACTGGATACTGCAAGGTGCCGAGGCACCCTCTACCATTCCTCTCTGAGTGTTTACGGTCCACACTTAGTTGAGTGGGTTTTACTTGAGACAGTCTTCTGTGCAGCACAGGAAGTCCTCCTGCCTCAGGCCCCCGACTACAGTGCAGGTGTGTATCGAAAGCACTGGGCCTGGCGTGGAAATGTGGGTGCTCCTCACTCACTGCCTGGCTTCACTTTGCCTTCGTCTTCCTGTTTCCATTGCTTTACACTTAGGGTTTAGAAAATATGAGATCTTTATTTGCTTTGATAAATTAAGATTTATAACAAGTTACTTAGTGGGAATCCTGTATTTCCAAGATTGAGAAATATTATCTAGTATGTCAAAAGTAATTGAAAGGTGAAAGTTAAACTGTTGTGTTCCTGAGGGACAGTTAAGTAGGTTCAAGAGTTTGAATGTTAGTATAATACTTAACTATTTCTGAGAGAAATTCAGTCTGGACTATGGGTGGGATAGAACCCAGGTTAACATTTTCTTAAGGTCACCAGTGTGTTCGATTCATGAGAAGTACTGTAGAAAACAACATGAACTTACATCATGTTGAGTTGTTTTCATAACTCCAGCTTGTCAACATTTTGCTTCTACCTAAAAGGATTTTTAAAATTTGTTGTACGCTTAGCGTAAAACTGTAATAATTGCTGGTATAAATGGTTATTAGCTCACCATTTCATGAGCTAGCTGGTTCCAAGTTTGGTATAGTTCTGGGAGGAGCTTGACCCACAGTTTGTTCCTGTGTGCTTTTTAAACCGACCTTCAAGTTAGCCAGTTTATTACCCCTATACATCTTGATTGATACACAGAAACAGTGTAGTATTTTTAATTCCACACCGTCATAAATAATAAATGTGTGGAAGGCTCAGCTGTAGCTTGAACAGAGGTATCCTATTGCCGGGTCGTATTGGCCCTACTTCCGAGTGACAAAATAGGTTTGATCCTTTTTATTATGACAGTCTTCAGGATGTCTAGTCGTTGTTCCCCTGTTGGTTCTGATCCCCCTTTCTACTCAATCAAGCATGCCAGTACCTTGTTCATAAAGCCTGTCTTTGAGAGTCTTAAAAGATTGTATATGTCTCCTCGGGTTTTCATTGTTTCTTAGTGTGTCACATTGACCCAGCACAGTACAGCTGTGTTTGGCTATTGAAACCCAACCTTGCTTGTCCATAGGAGTCTAGTTCACACACACACACACACACACACACACACACACACACACACACACACACACACAGAGACATATATATATCCACTAGGCACTTAATTTTACTATGCTGACATTGTCCTAAACAGATAACTTATGTAGTGATGCACGAAGAAATTCTTTTCTTTGTAAGAAGCAGGTCAGTAGTCAGAGACTGTAAGGTGCATAATTTAGTAAAAGAATAAAAGTCAGGGTAATAGCCAAGACCTTGGGAAATCAGGTATGAAAGTGTAATCTCCATTTCAGGTAGTTTTGGTTTGCTTGCTTATTTTTGACACAAAGTAACTGAATTGTATGTTCAATGACCTGTGTAATATTTTATAAAATGTTACTTTTCCAGGGTATCCTTGCAGATTGAAGGGTAATCCAGCCTTTTGGGGCCAAACTATTGTTACATGACTGCCATTGAGAAGATGAACTTCTTCCTCTTTAGTAACAGATTTAGAAATGAGAAACAATGCTTCATTGGAACAGTTTGGGAAATACCCTAAACCACTGAAGACGGTGAAGAAGTAGATACAGAAGCCTGAGCTCTAATGCCAATGCAGCACCGTGCTGCATATTGAAGTAGAGTGCCGATACTCTACAAAGCAGTATCATTGGAGCCTAACAGTATTTTTAGTTGCCACTTAGAATATTTAGTTTTTCACCAGAATACAAAACTGACCTCCAGGAAGACATGAGGAGTTTCCTGGTCTCTGGAGTGCAAGTGGATGCCCAAATCCACAGATACTCGAGTGTATTTTATAAAATGACACAGTGTGTGTATTTCCATTCACATCTTCCCATGTGTCAGAGATTGTCTGTAGATCAGCCGATACAGCAGTTCTTAGGAGCAACAAAAATACATGTCCACATAATCTGTAGTAAGACAGTTTTTACTCTGAAGTTTTCAGTCTGAAGCATTGGGTCCATGGTTATGGAGGAGGGCTGACCATCCTACTTTAGCAGAAATAGCCTTTCGGAGAAAACAAGACTGCTATTTACATAGCTACAATGGCCACCTCTCTTGGGTGCTTCACCTATGCTATCCAGTAGTTCAGCTAATCTGTGAGAAAGTTGGGCATATTTCCATCTTCTATGCCAAGCAGCTCAGAGCCTACAAAACCTGCCCTAAAGCATTACTGTCAATGGGCAAGGGAGATGCAGTTAAAAACAGTCTGTTAATCAAAGAATTCTGTCTTTGCAAAAAGGGCAGGTTATTTTCACCTAGAACTGCAGTCTCAGGTCCCCAGACAGATTGATTGACTTAGTGCGCACTTAGAGGCTTCGAAGAGCAGCTTTGGGATTAATAGAAAAAAAAATGCACCAGACAGTGAAGGGGCCATCTCCTTTCCTGTAGCTCTCCTCCCACCTAAAGTTGATGCACAAAATGTAGCCTTGTTCACAGGCTATGTTACTGTTCAAATTACCGTGACAGATTACATAGTGTCACAGACTCACTAACGGCAGCAGAGGAGCTTCACTGCCCCAGCAGTCTCCTGGGCTCCCCTGTACCTGGCATGGCTAGGTCCTACGTAGTTTGTGCTCAGGCTCCATCACACATGAAACTGCCAAACTGTTCTGAAGGCTGCTGTGTTAGTGACCAAGCTATCCGCCCACCGCAGAAAGGATTTTATTTGCGTCTGTGCTGATAATTTTCCAACTGTGGCTTGGGACCAACTGTCCCTGGAGGCATCTTAGAAATTTAGATTCTTTGCCTGTCCTGTTTTGCATCCCCACCAGCAGTGGCTGAATCGTGCAGCCCCAAATTCTCATCCAGCATTAGGTGGTGTCTGGTTCTCGCTGTTCTGATAAGGGTGTGGCGGTATCTCATTGTTCCAATCCACAGTTCTCTAGCCATCTCTGCTGAAAGGTCCTTTTCATATGGTGGGTTTCATCTCTGTTAGGTTCTTTAGGTATCCTAAGGGTTTCTGCCTGCTTGAAAAATCAGGTAATTTAGTTTTAACAAATTCATGGTGTGTTTTGCTTACGAGTCTTTTATCAGATGTGTGTTTGGCAAAATTTATTCCCCGTTCTGTGGCAT